ACAGAAATGTGATTACTATTGCTATATATCAATACAATATATGTAACCATTTGATGTTACCATGGCACTGGAAAAAATAGTTTATGACCAGTCCTCAGAACTATCACAGCATTCCCATGGTTGTGTGATCAACATTCAGGTCTTTAGCAATCCACATGTATTTATGATAGTTGCAGCATTCTGGATCAATAATCACCATGTGCAATCTTCCCAACTGGCTTTTGGCAACCTGTCAGTGGGGGAAGCCAGAATCACTTAATGGCACATGATTCACTTAGCAGTTGCATTGATTCACTGAACAAGCAAAAAAGTCATAAAATTGGACACCTTTTACTTAACAACTGCTTTACTCAGCAATTGAATTCTGGTTAGAATTGTGATCATATGTCAAGGACTACTTGAATATAAGCAAATTATATTCTTTTATTCAGAGAAAGAATTATGCCCAAATGTAAGCAGCGGATACAGGCTTTCTGAATTCATATAGAAGCCATATATTGGTGCAGGCTTGAAGTATACTTAACAACTCAGTATTACAACTTTCTAGTAGTCATCTCTTCTCTTTTTTTCATTCTACTTCTCTCTGTCTCCTCTGGTTTTTAAAAAGTTTAAAATACTCTTTAAATGTTCTTATGTAACTGATACAGTTATGCCAACCACAATTGATAGCACAGTATGACAGAAATGCTATCAATACACTACCTCATTCCTGTTAAAAAGGATTGAATGCTTGAAGCCAAAATATAATCCAATATAACAGCAACATAATATATCAAACATGAGCTCCTCAGTTTTCCCATGATATATAGGAATTGCTTTTCCCTTTTTTAAAAAATTAGGGATATACATTTTTAAATGAATTTAGTTGAGTCTTCAGGCCTTGACAGGCCTCATTATTTCGACAGAAACAGTAGAATTAATTCATTTGGGAGTTATCGAAGGTTATGGGTGGACACTTTCTTGTAGTTCATCATCATAATAAAAGAATTTGGCATATTTTGAAACTGTGGATTAAAGCAATCTTCCCATTATGTTGAACAACTTTATTTTTAAATTCAAATTCCAAGTTCCCTTGAAAAATAATAAACAGTTTCGTATAAGACTATTTGGCAGACTTTGGGAGAAGCTGAAAGCAAAACATGATCTCACCCTGACCAAAAGAAATTGCATAACACCATACTTTTCATGCTGTACAAGGAACTTTATAGTCTTCTTGGTTGGCTGTCAGCCATATTGTCTTTTCTTCTTATCCAAAACTATTTGTATAACTGCTGCCATCTTGTGGGCTAATTGAGGAGCATATATAATTTAAAAATCTTGGTATATATTGATCAGCATTGGCAATATATTTATACTTTGAAAAAGCAGGATAGATAAGTAGTCGATTGATTCAACATTCCCAAGTGGAAATGATTATATTTATTTGGAACTACTTCATGATTCAGTTCTATTGTGAGAAATGCAAAGAAACCCGCTCTGTGTACCTCTAGTGGCAAAGGGTTCGCTAACTAGACCTATTGATAAGTAACTTGTGCAAAGTGCAGGAAAGGATATCTCTCAGTGTGTAAAACTAACATCTGCATTTGGATGTGTATCTGGATCCTGATCCAGATTCCAGATATGAACCCTGTTACCTGATTCTGCAGTTCTTCAACCTGTTTCACACATGAATGGAGATGCAATGGGGAGATGCAGAAAGGCTAATGAAACCAAAACATAACAAATCATTCTTTTAATACAGGGAATAGCCTTTCTGGAATGCTGTGAAATCCTTGAAGTAGAAGCTCAGGAAGCAGATGGGGGAAACAGATTATTTAAATGTAGAACAGGAATTCATATATTGTGGAGAGCTTTCTTTGGTTGCCAGACAGGTTCTGAACTCCATCAGGAAATTCTCTTAATATAGTTTCCACATGTGGAATATCCCTTTATATCGAAAGCAGACCTGCAAGGAAAACTTTGATACATATTTGAGAGTCTCCATTTGTGCAGTAAGATACAGGAATGAATTGTAGGATTGCAATAGAGTTTTAAACCTTACTTAAAATAAAACATTGCATTCAAGATGTATCAACTGCATAGATTTGTTTTACAATGGATTTGCTGCTTGTCTAATCTAGAATAGCCTGCAGACTGATAGAAGCTCTTTGGGAATTTTATCAAAGCAGATTCTTTTTTATGTCTTGCTACCAGATATTTTTAAACGAAGACACGCAAAGCATGCAGATTGCCAGAACATGGTACTTTGTATTTTTATCGCACTGTCTGCATAAGAATACGGTGGTTGGTAGTATTGCCAAAATAGTTGTCCAAGTAATTTTGTTCAGAAATTTGTCATTGATAGCTTGGTTCTAAAACAGAAACAAAGAAAAACATATTGTTCATACATTTATATAGATGTTGGTGCATAACCATTTGGGTGCACAAGTGGATGTATTATGTATCCAGTTTCATAAGATCCGTGAACTACTATCCAGCTGATAAAATGAGCAAAATGTAGTTAGAAGCCATAGCATATTTATAATAAAATTACAAATGAGGAAAAAAAATCTTTACTAGCAGATCCAGTTTACATAGGAAAAATGTACATGGATTATTGTGGGCTGTTCCTTATGGTTAGGTTAGTATCACATATCAATTATTTTTTAATATAACTTTTATTAACTTTTGTCAGAAGACAAAAATTCAGGGGGGAAATGATACTTGGAAAACTAAGAGAATAAAAAAGTTTAGAAAGAGAAAAAAATTGTCTTCTGACTTTTTTTCAGTGTAATAAAATATAAATAGAATACAACATCAAGCTTCTGCTTTACAGACCACTGCAAGATATTTCTATAATAACAAAACCATTTTAATCATCAAAACCTAAAATCCAAGTTTTGATTCAATTCACTTTTTACCTATTTCAAGCAAAAATCAGTTTTCAAGTAAAAACAAAACTAGATAAATTATTTTCTTTAATTAAAACAGTTTGCCAAATCTCTACTAGCTCTCACTTTTATCGTGTACTCTTCCATTGTGAAAATTAGTGTTCTTTACATCTTTACACAAATAAGATTCTTGCTGATGTCAATATACATAATAAACAAAGTTCCAAATTTTCTTTCCAGTTTTTTGCCCATCAGCTTTCAGAACAAAACTTCTGGTTTCAATTGTATATTTATTGTGGGAATCTTCTGAATTAAAGTAAAAACCTGGTCTCAGTACTGGTATCATCCACCTGTTTTTGACAAGGCAGGAAAATATGTCAGATTAAAATTTACTGCCCTATTTATGATTTCTATTCAGGCCCAAGGGACTATTGATGCTCCCTCCCAAAGATGGTCCAGCTATTCCATCTCTCATCCTGGGGGGTGAAATTATACGCCCCTCAGAGAGGGTTCACAATTTGGGAGTCCTCCTGGATCCACAGCTGACTCTAGAACACCATCTGTCGGCTGTGACCAGGGGGGGCCTTTGCCCAGGTTTGCCTGGTGCACCAATTGTGACCCTATCTGGACCGGGAGGCCCTTCGGATAGTCACTCACGCCCTCGTCACCTCAAGACTGGACTACTGTAACGCGCTCTACATGGGGCTGCCCTTGAAGAGTGTTCAAAGACTTCAGCTTGTCCAGAATGCAGCCACGCAAGCGATTGTGGGTGCACCTCGGTACACCCACATTACACCTATCCTCCGCGAGCTGCACTGGCTGCCCATTGGTCTCCGGACACGTTTCAAGGTGCTAGTTGTTACTTTTAAAGCCTTACATGGTATCGGACCTGGTTACTTGAGAGACCGCCTCCTGCCAGTCACCTCCCAAAGACCTACTAGATCCCACAGACTAGGCCTCCTCCGAATTCCATCTGCCGGCCAATGTCGGCTGGCGACTCCCCGGTGGAGCACCTTCTCTGTGGCTGCTCCGGCCCTCTGGAACAATCTCCCCATTGAGATCCGGACCCTTACCACCCTTCCGGCCTTCCGCAAAGCAACTAAGACCTGGCTGTTCCGGCAGGCCTGGGGCTGTTGAACTATCCAGCCCCCTTCAAGGTTATGACTGTTGTTGTATTTTAAATTTCTGTTTTCTATTTTTATTTTTGTACCCCCTCCCCTTCTGATTGTTAGCCGCCCTGAGTCTTTTGGGAATAGGGCGGCATACAAGTCAAATAAAACCTAAACCAAACCTAAAACCAATGAAATCAAAGGTTCTATATTTTATGTGGCTGCATTCAAAGCAGGATCTATTTCATACCATGTTTAGATGCAACTGGGGAAAAGACTTACATGTCCCAGGTCATCCAAACTATAGTTTATTCCCATATCAATGGAAGGAGTCTTTGCAGTCTTTTACCCAGCTCTGCCTCTTGAGCAATGAAACACTGACCATGCCTCTAGCTGATTTGAAAGAGTTTCAGCTCTAGCAGCTTCCCCTGGCACTGATGCCCCCATATCTCTGATATAACAGGCAATTGAGGAATCATGCAGAATTAGGTAAGTTTAGATTTCAGACTTAATGATCTCATGCAACAGGTTCTTTAGATCAGTATTTCTGAACCTTGGAAAATTTAAGATATGTGAACTTCATGCTGGTTGGAGGAAATCCACCCACTGTATAGATGTTTAAGTTGAAAACTATGGTTTTAGATTATCCTATGCATGACTCCATTTATTTCAACATGCGGCAAACCAGTTTGACGGTACTTGACAGCCTTCTTTAGTTGAGTGAGACATTAGGCTTACTGTTATGCCATGGTGGCTTTGCTGTTATGAAGCTGTCTTTCCCATGTTATACAATGATTCGGACCAATGCCATATGGGAATGCTAAAAAATGGTTCTTTTCCCTCTCCAGCACAGTGCTATTGTTATTTAATGCCAATCACTGCATGCCAGTCAATGCAGTAGGTATCAAAGCTAGCCAGTGGCTAGCTGTTGGCAGTTTGTTAGAATTATCTTTAGTTACATTTTTGAAAAGAAGTTAAAGTACAGTAATAATTTCACAAATTAAATCTTGGTTTCTTGCAGCCATCCATTATTCCATTACTGAAGAACTTCCAGCATATGGTTTCAACTGTGGATTTGGCTACAGTTCTCAAAAGACAATCTGTCGCTGGGAACATGATGCCCAGCTGGACTTGAGATGGGCAGTACTCACCAGCAAAACAGGGCCCATTCAGGACCACACAGGTAAAGTAGGATTAACAACTGATCCAGTGACAAGTGGACAGAAATAAATATTGTCTTTAAAATAAAAGATCTTCCAGGACTAACATTTACAGATAGTCCATGACTTACAGCCAGTAACTTAGTCACTTACAACAGATCCAAAAAAGGGCTTAAAATCCAGGTACAAAGTTCCATCGGTCGCCCTCCTCCATCAGGCACATGATTGCACTTCAAGCATGCAGCAGCACAATCATTTACAGCATCCCACAGTCACATAATCACCCTTCATGATGGTTTTGCTGAAAATCAGACCTTCCAGTATCAGCAAAACCAAACCATAGCAAAGAAATGGGTTTAGTTAAACAGCTGACGCATTTGTTTTATGGCTGCTGTGTTCGCTTAACAACTGCTGCAAAAAGGTTGTAAAATCGGGTGGGTCATGTGACTGACCAGTTTGATAGCTGTTACCACTGTCTTGGGCAGACCCCGTTACGGTTGTACCTTGTATCTGTATGTCAATTCTGCTTTGCCTTGATGAAAACAATGGTGCCATTTCAAATCCCGCCCTAGAATTACTAGATTTAATTACTGTGCATAATTAACCTGGTGCTTTTAAGTGTATGCATATTTTCTTAAACTTGCAAGTTCACATAATTTCAGCTACTCCTAAAGATGTTTTCAGAAGCTTTGTTATCAGGTGCAAACCCTCCTAGAGTGAGATTTTAGGTCTTCTAACTGCTTGTTTCTGAGGACAGAAACCTTTTGAACAAAGGGTGACATTGTGACCCATGTTTCAATTATTCATTCCCTTTTTTCATTTATGTAGATAGTCAGAAGTACTAGCAATGAACCTTCCTTCCCCATTTCCATTTTCTACCCCAATCCCCATTTTACTTAATGAGAATGACAAGGAAATTGGGCTCCTTAAATTTAGAGACAGTTCAATTGAATCTTAAGACAAGTCGGTTTAGTTTTTAAGGGGTAGGGAAAAAAAACTTTAAATACTTTGACTATGAATGGCACCGTACAAATAAACGGCATCAAATTAAGCAAAAGGCAGTTAGCTGAAATGAAGGCTGTAATAATGAGAAAAATTGATGCAAAGTAAAATGAAACGACTCAGTGAGAACTGACATTGAAGGGAGGTTAAAAGCCACGTTAGCCAAGGGCTGACAGAATCTAAAAGGCATGCATACGTTCAGCTGTAATTAAGACAAAAAAGGCAGAGTTCTTGACCCAGAATTGCAATAATATTCTTGAAATGAAAAATATTTGAACTTTGCCATGAGTGTCTAGAGACAAGCATGACTTGTCCTCTCACTGAAGGGTTGGGGAATGGGGAAATTATATCTCTTAAACGAGATTTTGTTAGGAACAAATATTCAATGCTTTCCACATTTCTAAACCATAATCTGAAAACATGTGCACAAGGAATTACACACACACACACACACACACACACACACACACACACACACACCATATACCTGATATCTTTTTTTTTTTTTGCTTAACTATCTTCAGCTTCATGATACCGCTAAAAGAACAAGTCAATTGCTATTCCTGCACCTCTTTACATAGTATAGCCATTTGACATGTTCTCTCTTGAAAAATGGTTTGACTATATATGGAAATGAATAAATAAATTCTTTGATTACTGAAGAGCTGTGAAGGCACATTAGCAAAACTACAGTCTGGAATGCAGAAACACAAAATGGGGTGGAAAATCTTCCCTCACATACAGCAGCTAAATCCCATCAAATATAACTGAGCTGGAATATACACCAATAGCAATTAAAATATCTCTTTAAAGCCTGGAAATACACCAGGTAGCCATGATCCCTCCTGCCTATTCCTTCCCTATCCCAACCATTGGTTCTTTCAATTTGGGGCTGATGAAGAAAAAATAAGTATGGTGGCTCAGAGGGTTAGGATGCTGGGTTAGCAGGCCGGCATACCCAGACCTAGGTCTTGCTGTGTGGTGGGATAAGCTCCTATCATTCTCTCCAGCTCCTTCCGAACAAGCAGTTTGAAAGCATGCAATTGCAAGTACTTCTTTGGTGGGCAGATTAACAGGGACATGGAAGGAGCTTGGGCAACGGTGATGTCTCTGGCTAACCCTTTCAACCCAGAAGTGCCTGGGTGTTCCCGATCCAAACAAGCGCAAAGAGAAATTCTGTGTATTACGCAGCAAATGAGGAAGGAGGATGTTGATGAAGATGGGATTTCTGTACTTCCCCTTATACCTGGGGTGATCTAAAGACTTGAATTTGGGTTCTGGTGGCAACATTAACAATAACTTTCATGGTTTCCCTTGCTTTAAAGTACAGACGAAGCTATGGCTAAAGTATTCATCAGTCCACATATGGATGCAAATTAATCTGACATTCACTTTTCAAAGTAATGTGAGAGGGAGAGTTATCTGCTCTTCTACTTGTTTAACGCAGCTTCCCATTCAATAACTTACTGCAACTCCAGGCAACGAGTATATTTTATGACAAATTGCATTTCAAATATGTACATATTTTATAAGTGTTCTACCATATAGCACAAGAAATACATACAGCACAAATGAAAACTGGATGGGATGAATTGATCTGAGCGGAAACACATCTTAATATCTCCACTCTTACTACCCAGCACATTGTTTCTTAAGAATTTCTCCATGCTGTTACTAAAATGATGCCTTATCATTTAGAAAATCAGGAATGCCCATGCCTTAATGAATTTCAGTTTGTTGGAAGAGGAAGGTCAGACAGACATACCCATATATGCCAAGATATTTCTCAAAAAGCTTTTCAGTTGCAGCTCCTTAGAAAAAGCCTGTTCGTGTTGTAATGCTTGAAGTTTAAGGCAGTCAAAATTTGGTCGTTGTGTCTAATGAAGTGTTTTGTCACAATAGGAGATGGCAATTTTATTTATTCCCAAGCTGATGAAAACCAGAAAGGCAAAATTGTTCGCCTCATCAGCCCTATCATCAACCTGCAAAATTATGCCCTTTGCATGACTTTCTGGTATCATATGTTGGGCCCTCACGTCGGCACACTAAGAATCAAACTGCGGTACCAGATCCCTAAAGAATACGATCGGGTCTTATGGACACTAAGTGGAAATCAGGGAAACTGCTGGAAGGAAGGCCGGGTTTTTCTCCACAAATCTGTGAAACATTATCAGGTAGGCCAAGAAATTTAAGCATAAAAGGGGGCTGGGTCAATAGCATTCCATGCATTGTGCATGACTGAATCTCCACGTTAAGTTATCTTTCGTGGAGAGAAATGCTATAGGGATAAAATAAGAACTAGAGCCACAGAGACCTGAGTTTCATTAAGATACCAATGCAGTGAGCAAAGGGCCCCAGACAAAGTAAAATGGGACCCTTGAGCTTAGGTGAGTGAGGTTTATTTAGTAAGAGACAAAAATATGCTAGATCAAAAGGATAGCAGTAGTCATCATCTTCTCCTCCTCCTCCTCCTCTTTGTCCTCTTCCTCCCCCCCCCCCATCCTTCTCCCCCCATGTCCTCCTCCTTTTTTTTTTTACTGCACTGCTGAGAATAAAATTCAGACTTCTAAACTCCGGTTTAGAAAACTAAATCTCAATGATAATTGCTTAAGTGTTGAAGTAGTTCAAGTGAACCTCCTGCATGCAAAACAAAAGGTCTCTTGCTATAATGATATGTAAGAATGAGTATGGAAAGAGGGGGTGGGTGGGATAAATGCTTTCTTGGAAACAGCCAGATAAGAAAGGGCCAACAGCTGCATATTGAGCAGAGAAAGAGGTTCAGTAGGGACACACACAAATACACACACACACAAACACACACCCCACAAGTTCTTAGGCTGCAAAGGAGACAAGGTGAGATTTGTACTTTCAGACTTGCAAGATTCTGTTAACACAACCTTACGATAACATAGAATTGGTCATGTTTCTTGCCTGGTCTGCCTAGAAAGCATGACACCTACTGATCTTCTGCATTCCTTTCCATAATACATACTTCTCCTGCTCCTTCCTTCATGCCCATTGGAGTGCTGGTGGAGGGACCCATTGCTGTTGCCATAAGTCTGAATCAATTATTTGCAAAAGGCATTTGTAATTAAACATAGGTCCTCGGGTTGCCCTAAATCCATAGGTTGACTACCCGTGTCTTAAAAGGGTCTCAGGAGTATGAAAGACCCAAGAATCTGCAGCCAATGAAGGCTGGCAATATTGATGTTTATTTCGCTTAATATGAAACAGCTTCCCAATGTGATGCTTTCCTGGTGTGCTTGGGGGACAGCTTCCAGAGTTCCTAATCATGACATTCAAAAACTGTTGGCTAGAAATTCTGAGAGACTCAACATGTCTATAGAGCACTAGGTTGCCAAAGACAGACATAATCATATCATCATATCTAATTATATTTACACTATTTGCGTTTGGGAGAAGCAAAATCTGAATTATTCACTCCATATTAAATATGAATTTGCCATCTACAGTATACCCTATCAAATCTACAGGTCTGCTCTCATTTTCTTTCATATGTCATTTGTTTTGGGGAGATGAATCCTTTCTTTGAGCCAAATTCATATTGTTTAATATTTTATACATGAATCTATATTATGAAAAAAGTACAGGAGTCAAAAATAAGCCAAGCAGAAGTACAGAATTATAGCAATAGCTAAACATCGTAATATGCAAACATATTTAAAGAATCTCTTTGAAGACCACATGAGAATCTCCCAAAAGAGGGTCTTCCACTACAGGAGATTCCTTATCACCAGCACCATCCATCAGATGGTGAGACACCTGTACTTTAATCCTCCTTATGACCTTTCATAAGATTTTGGTTTAGCTATTCTGGGTATTTTCATTTGAAGCTTAAAATAATTATTCTTTCCACCATGGTTTATACTCAGCTGTATATTGGGAAACCTCTTATCTTCTCCTGTTCCCTCTTCCCCTTTCACTAAAGTTCTGTTCATATTGGGTCTATTCCAACTCGCCATGGCCAACTTGTCACAGGCCAACTTGTTGCAGGCAAAAATTACACTAATATCAAATAAATGATGGAATAGAATCATTAAAGAAAGGATGAGAAAGGAGGGACAGAATGTAAATGGCAAAAACTAAAATATTTTTATTTTAAATAATTAAATCAAATTGTTAAATTGTGTCACAGTGAGTTGCCAAGCAGCAAGTTGGCCATGGCAGTGAGTTGGCTGTGTGGCAAGCTGTCCCATTCCCACTCAACATTGGGGGTCAGTAAGGCTCCACAGCTTTTATTTGTTCTTTAAATTTAAAAGAAATGGGAGGCAAGCTCATATGGGTCCCACAGATATTTTTAGAAAATAAAATTATGTATGAGTGTAGCTCAGTGTTATCTTCACACTCAGAAAAAAACAATAGAGGAAAATTAAGTTGGGGTTGCAAAAAACGTCCCAGATCACTAAGAAAAGGAATGAACAACCTCACTTTGCTGTCTGGTAAATCCCATAGCAGCCATTTTGAGAGAATATCCATCTAAAATGCCTGCAATCCCAAAGGGTAATTTAATCCATCACATGATAACAGAATTAAATAAAGGGGAACATGTTCCTTATTAGCTACTTGTGTAAAAAAAATTCTCATCAATTATGTTGGGAATATGCAAACTGCAAAGATTATATTAGAACTGAATGGATCTCTGAATGCTGATTTACCTCACAAAAATACAATCTGTTTTACACTTTACCTCTGAGGGTAAAATTGCACTTTCTCTGAAAGAGTTGTTTCTTCATAAAGTAATACTATCACATGACATCTTGAGCCTTGATAAAAGATTGGTCTCTTCAATGTATGCTTGCTTAAAAATTCAATAACTAGTCTTTGTTCTGACCATTAGTGTTTTAAACAGCAAAATGTAAATTATTTTTATCAGGTAATGGTGGAAGGAGAAATTGGAAAGGGAAATGTAAAGGGAAATGGAGGAATTGCAGTTGATGATATCAACTTTGACAGCCACATAACACAGGAAGAATGCCGAAGTAAGTAACACTTGGTAGCAGATATAAAATTTACCATACTAAACACTGTGGATTCTATTGATGATGATTATTTTTGCTATTACATTTTTATTTCCAACTTTTTAATAAATACTCAAGGCAGAGATTCTACCTATATACAAAATAAAGGTTATAGTAATCTTGTTAACGAATGTTGGATCCTAAATATCAATAGTTGATTTACCTTTATTTTTTTCCCTACCATGTGTTTTCACAAGTTACCCAAAGAACTTAGTCCTGTGGAAAAATAGGTGATTTTAGTTAATTTAAACATGCTTGATTTGAGTACTTTAAGTTTAAATAATCTTAAGTAAGCTTCATAGCTGACCTGAACACCCTAAATAAGTCTGCTTAAAGTTGAAATAGGTTGACCATTCATAAAAGTATGAAATTGTACAGCTGCAACCAGGATGAAATGGGGAATTTGCAGTAACTTTCCCTGGAGTGGGGTGAGAATGCAGATTTTACAGTTTCCTTCCCCTGCCACGCCCACCAAGCCATGCCCACAGAACCGGTAGTAAAAAAAATAATGAAAAATACTGGCTGTAATCCTATAATATTAATGCCAATCTTAGAATGTTCTACAGCAGTGGTTCTCAACCTTTTCTTCACTACAAACTCCCTTTAAATAGCTTCTTTGGCATGGACCCCTAAGATTTAACTCAATATTTAAATCATAACATTTCTTCAAATCTTCCAAGAAGTCTGCAGACAACAAGTTTAGAACCACTGGACAACAATAAAGCCATCCAACACTACAAAAATTAAAACCAATTAAAATTATCACAGTTCAAAGCTTCAAAATTGTTTAGCCTTAAAGGTCTGAGTGAAAAGATTGATTCTAAACTTACTATAGGTAACCTACTTACTATAGGCTAATTTTGGAATTAATTTCACGTGTTTTTGGTCATTCAGGTCAAAGTCTTATCAAATAAGAGTTTAAACAGCAGGTTTCTCTTCTAATATCCTTATATATGCACTGCAGTTAACATAATTATTTTTCATGGCTAAAGGATACTTATGACTGATTAATAGCATTGGTTTTCAAGATTGTAAATGCAATGAATGAAACATGCTAATTTTATATGTGGATTTTCATTTCTCTGAGACAAGAATCCCCCGCTGATAGCACTAAAACTGTGCCATGCTATGGTAGAGAGAGGGCTTTTTTCTTCTTTGCTAATTTTGGAAAAATCAGGTTAATGAACAGCTCCATCAAACCAACATAATCATGCTTAGAAAAGAAAGAAAAATGCTCAGTATCATATTGGCAGCATGATAACCCGTCAGTATTTGTCATTAAAATAATCAATGTCAATTTTTTTTGCTTAACAGAATCAAATGGTGCAGGGAATGAAATAGTTGAAGTAGAGCCAGATATTAATCAAACAGGTAAAATATATTTTTAATTAAAAATTAACTTGATTTTCATGTCAATCTTAGTGGCATTTGAGTTTATTTTTAACTTGTAGTTGATTGATTGTGCCATCAACTTGGTGTTGTCTCTTAATAATCATATAGATTTTTTTTCATGACATAATCTGCTCCTAACCTGGTCCTTCAACTGTTCCAATGGTGTATGCATCACCACTGCCAAGTAGGTCCATCCACCTTATATAAGTGACCCAGTCTAATAAAGTCATACAATTATTACTAATATGTTTGTTTGCCTATAGCACTCAATATTGTTTATATATTTTGCATTTTTGATGTAAAAGAGGAATAAATGCAGATAATATGGTAACCAATAATACAGGGTAAGATTTTTAAGAGGATTATGTCAAATTCATCCATATCCATTGTTTAGATTTTTTTTATCAAAATAGCCATATCTATAGGGAGACTCAAGTCATTCAGGTCACGGTTGCCCAAAGATGCTTTTTCAAAAGGCAACTGGATTTTGCTTTCCTTGAAGATATTTCCCTTCTCATTCAAGAAGTTTCTTCAGTTCTCATTCTAGAACTTCTTCAGAACTAAAGCTACTTGGATGAGAAGTGAAATGTCTTCAAGTCCAGTTGCCTTTTGAAACAACACTTTTGGGACAGCCATGTTCAAACATATCAACAGTTGCATTAATAGAATGCATTGTAGTGGCAAATCAAAGAGGTATTTTCCTTACAACTGGCTTGGAGAGTGGTTTTGATCATTTTAATTCAAACGTTTTATTCTTCAGGAAGAAACATTAGATAATCTAATTATAATTTCTCCAATCCTCCCATAATTGCATTTGAGGCTCTTTTTTTTTTTAAGGGGTGGTGGTATGTGAAACAAAGCTTTCCATCATGTACTTTAAAAGTCTTCTCCTCCTCCTATTCAGAGGATATAATACAATACAATAATACAATAGCAGAGTTGGAAGGGACCCTCAAGGTCTTCTAGTCCAACCCCCTGCCTAGGCAGGAACTAGGTTATTCACGTACTGTCTTATGTTTTGTCTTGCACACCCCCTCCCATGAATTGTAAGCCGCCCTGAGTCCCCTCAGGGAAAAGGGCGGCCTATAAATAATAAATAAAATCTAAATCTAAAAAATCTATACCGTTCCAGACAAATGGCTACCCAACATCTTCTTAAAGACTTCCAGTGTTGGAGCATTCACAACTTCTGGAGGCAAGCTGTTCCACTGATTAATTGTTCTAACTGTCAGGAAATTTCTCCTCAGTTCTAAGTTGCTTCTCTCCTTGATTAGTTTCCACCCATTACTTCTTGTTCTACCCTCAGGTGCATTGGAGAATAGTTTGACTCCCTCTTCTTTGTGGCAATCCCTGAGATATTGGAACACTACTATCATGTCTCTCCTTCTTTTCATTAAACTAGACATACCCAGTTCCTGCAACCGTTCCTCATATGTTTTAGCCTATTGTCTCCTAATCATCTTTGTTGCTCTTCTCTGCACTCTTTCTAGAGTCTCCACGTTTGTTTGTTTTTACATTGTGGCGACCAAAACTGAGTGCAGTATTCCAAGTGTGGCCTTACCAAGGCATTATAAAGTGGTATTAACACTTCATGTGATCTTGATTCTATCCCTCTGTTTATGTAGCCTAGAACTGTGTTGGCTTTTTTGGCAGCTGCTGCACACTGCTAGCTCATATTTAAATGGTTGTCCACTAGGACGCCAAGATCCCTCTCACAGTTACTACTATTGAGCAAGGTACCACCTATACTGTACCTGTGCATTTCATTTTTCTAGCCTAAATGCAGAACCTTATTCTTTTCACCATTGAATTTTATTTCATTAGATAGTGCCCAATGTTCAACTTTGTCAAGATCCTTGTGTATCTTAAGCCTGTCTTCTGGAGTGTTGGCTATTCCTGTCAGCTTGGTGTCATCTGCAAATTTGATGAGTTCCCCATTTATTCCCTCATCCAAATCATTAATGAAGATGTTGAAGAGTACTGGGCCTAAAACAGAGCCTTGGGGTACTCCACTGCATACTTCCCTCCATGTAGATGCAGTTCCACTGACGACGACATGTTGAGTGGGGTTGGTCAGCCAGTTACAAATCCATCTGGTGGTGATGCTGTCTAACCCACATTTTTCTACTTTATCTAGTAGTAGATTATGGTCTACCTTATCAAATGCCTTACTGAATTCCAAGTAAACTATATCGCATTCCTCTGGTCCACTAATTTTGTCACATTATCAAAGAATGCAATAACATTAGTCTGGTATGATCTGTTTTTGACAAACCCATGTTGGCTTTTGGCTATTACTTTATTTACTTCTAGGTGTTCGCTAATTCGTTGCTTGATTATCTTTTCCAGAATCTTTCCTGGTATTGAGGTCAGGCTGATAGGTCTATAGTTTCCTGGATCTATTTTGTCCCTTTTTTGAAGATGGGAACCACATTAGCTCTTTTCTAGTCCTCTGGCAGTTCCCCAGTGCTCCAGGATCTCTGAAAGATATAGTTCAGTGGTCCCGAGATATCATCTGCCAGTTCCTTCACAACTCTGAGGAGTAATCCGTCCGGTCCTGGTGATTTGAACTCGTCTAGGGTAGACAGGTGCTCACTTACCATTTTCTTCCCTATTTCAACTTGTGTTCCTAATCTGATTTTTGTGGTGCTGTTTTTGGTAGGTTGGACTGTTTTTTCCCTTTGTGTAAAGACAGATGCAAAAAATGAGTTAAATAGTTCTGCTTTTTCCCTGTTGCTTGTCACCTTCTTGCCACTTTCTCCCAGCAATGGACCAATTGTTTCCTTAACCTTTTTCTTGTTTTTAACATGTTAGAAGAAGTTGTTGTTGTTGTTGTTGTTATTTTTTACTTTTGTGGCAAACCTTTCTTCATTGTGAGCCTTAGCTTCCTCTTAGCTTCATCTTTACATGCTCGGGCTATTTGCTGATATTCTGCCTTATTATGCCCCCCCTTTCCACTTTTTATACTTATCTTTTTTGTCTTTCACCTAGAATGGAAATTCTTTACCCTGAAATATGAACATGTGACATCAAAAACTGCTAGTTCCTAAGCCTTTAGAACAAGAACTATTTCAAAGCCATCTCTGAAAGTAAACAGGGGTAGACATCTGGTAAAATTTGTGTTTTTCAGCTGCCTGCATCTTCATAGAAAAAAGGGAGGGCGGGAGGGAGAGAAAGAAGGAAGGGAGAGAGGGTGGGAGGGAGAGAGAGAGAGAGACTGCATCCACTTTTGGCTTACTAATCAGGAGATCTCTTAATAGGTGCCTATGCTTGCATTAGAAGTAGATGAGATTTTTATATAAAGTCCTTTACATTGATGCAGTACTGAAATCAAATATGCATGGGGGGTTTATTGCTCTAAAACTTATTTTTAATATTTTGACTTATTCTCAGGGCATTTAAGAATTTATTATCAAAGAATTCTTGGCGATCTTTGTGAATTTACTTTGGAGAGTAAGGCTACTTTGGCAGAAAGACTACTGCTTGGATTATACATCTTTCCATAATTCTGAAGTTTCTCCTCCAATCTATATTTCCAAGTCTGAAATGACACATGAAGATAGTTACAAGAGATTAATTTAATAGAAACCAGAAAAGGCTGCAGTTTGCTGGATAAATTACTTTTTAATGAAAGATAAGATATTCTTATAGGGAGCAAATTCTATTTCACAAAATCAAATGTAGAATTTTTCTGCAGTGATGTATTTTCAGCTGCTATATAATTTGAGTTTTACCTAATCTTCCTATGCCTTATAACAGGACAAAGGCAAAGATAAATTTGTTCCAGTTTTTGGAAACAGGAAAAACAATTTCTCTGTTTCCATTGAGTGGAAATTGGAAATGAAGCATTTTCTACAACCTAGTAGTCCATAACTCCTCTTTCAGCACAGATGTAAAATGTGAAAAAGCAAAAGCAAAAATTAGCCTCTTAATTCAATGCCTAAATTTTAGGCACTATGTTTAGTGCCTAAATGAGGATGAAAATATATACTCAGATATTATGAAATATAGCAACACACATACACATATACACACACACGAGAGAAATGAAGAAGCTTCCAATTCAGAATAAGTGACCAACCTAAGTCATAAACTGATAGCACACAATACTACTTAAGTTTGTCTATGTCCTTTTATTTCTTACTGGGTCCTATTTACCCAACTTTTGGCTATGCTGCCACTCCATAATTTCTGTGTCTCTCTGTTCTTCTGTAGGATGTACTCCTGTTTACCGTGAAAATGGGGAACCTTATAATGACAACATCTCTCGAAAGCCAGGCAATGTTCTGAAAACACTTGACCCTATTCTTATCACCATCATCGCTATGAGTGCCCTGGGTGTGCTGCTGGGCGCCATCTGTGGGGTCATTCTGTACTGCGCCTGTTGGCACAATGGGATGTCCGATAGAAACTTATCTGCACTGGAGAACTACAATTTCGAACTTGTAGATGGTGTCAAATTAAAAAAGGATAAACTGAACACACAGAATACGTATTCAGAAGCATGAGGTAGAGGAGGAGGAGGAGGAGGAGGAGCTCAAATATTTCAAACAATTGAGACAGAAAGACTTATAGATCTCCCTTTTCTGTACAGGCTGAAAACTGCGTTGAAGACGCTGAGCCAAGCTTTTCTCAGGAGCTTCAGTGGGTGTACCAGATATTCTAAGACATGGACAACAATCTGTGTTAAACAATCTGAATCATGTACAGTCTACTTCTGTTTCTGTTTTAATTTGAACTATTCAAATGCTGGTGTTGAGACCAAGTATGATTGACCTAAGAGGGGTATTCAGTTTTGGTTCTGCCTTTTTTCTTTCTTTCTTCTTACCTTAGCCCCTCCATTCCTTGTTTTATTTCCTTCTGTCTCCCCTCCCCACCCTGGGCCCATAAGTACTTGTTTTTTTACTGTGCAAAAATCCAAGATGCTGTCAAAACATGTAATTTGGCAGGAGTCTATTGGATGGACATCCTGTTTGTAGCTGAGTGCCCAGAAGGAAGAACATCAGAGTAACAGCAATTTAATGGATTCCTGATACTGTATTTGTGTATAATTGCTTGTGTCGTGCATAGGCAAAGGAGGGTTAGGGTGTTTGTTTTTTTGGTGGGGGGGGGAGTACTGTATGGTCAGTACTGGTATAGTGTGTCAACTCTGTTAACCAAGCAATACGGTCAGAATTTATTGGTGTTTCTCAGTGTTGTACTCCACCTTTGTGCTTGTGAATTCCATACAAGAGATATGTGCCATCACCTACGAACAATTGGCAAACCAGGTGTCCTGCATTGAATTATTGAATTGTAATGAGAGAAAAAAAGCAAAAGTCCTTGGCACTGGCTCGTTTATGTCTTCTCAAGTGCCTTTTTGTTGTACTGCTCCTCATTGCTTTATCATCAATTCCTTTTTTGTCTCTCCATCAGTCTCTCTCTCCCTTTCTCCTCCCCCTCTCTCTCCCTTCTTCCCTCCCTCCCCCTCTCTCTCTCCCTCCCTCTCTCTATGAATTTTTTCAATTTTATGTTGCTGAACACCCTTTTTCTTAAAATCTGCCATTTTGCTCCTGTCCTATCTTTTATTGTTCTTTCATACAGAATGTATTTTCAAATATAAGGTCTCTTCGTCTTTTGCTTTTCCCCCTCTTTTGTCTCTAAATAGATTGTTACATAAGCATTTGCCATTGTCAAGGTAAGGAAAATGCAGCTCTAATTTGTTGGTAATGGCAAAAAAAAGAAAAAAGGATTTTGTTACAATTTTGTCTTTCCTTTTATTGCTGTATTTTAAAATAAGGGATATGTTTTAATGTTACCTTCCAGAGTTGATCTTTGGATTTCTTTTTAGCAGCATTAACTGACATTATCTTTTTTTTCTCTCTCCTTTAGTAAGCCATGAAGTAAGTCTTTTAATTCTGTCCAAGATGTTCATATAAATCGATGGCAATGACAATTTGTTGTTGATGTTGAAGAGCAAAGAATGTTTTTCCCATCCATATCCTAGCTATCCAATTTAAGGGTAATTGTTTCTGCACAGGACTCTTTCATGCTAATGTAGAGGCATACTAATATTGCTACAAGTAGTAATGCATTGACTTTGCTAATAATGGATTTGCTTTAAAAAAAATCATTGTATAACATATCCTAAACTGGATTTAAAATGAGTACTGTTAACATTCTAATGAGAAGTAATTGGGGGCCCTTGTGCTCTTTCTATTCGCTTAGCAACAGTAGCCATGTTTTAAGAATTAAGTCAATCTCCAAAAGACACAGTTAACTCTTAAAGATCTTAAATCATAACAAGCATTCAGGGCACCATAAACTGATTCTGTCACATTGTTTTACGTGGTATTCAAATGCACCTTTGATTAAAAACAGCTGGTGTTCACCACACCAGAGCAAACGCTTAACAACTCTGCTCTCATTGTAAATATGAGTTATCATCCAAAGAAGGTTTATTGAAGTAAAATATCTACCATGATAAAAAAAATCAGTGACAAAAGAGTATATGAATCAATTGTTTAGTTATCCAATTTACACTGTAATTGAATGCTCTACTAGTTAATTATCCCAAAGAGAAGATCAGATGCAAATAATTTTTACTGCACTTCTTTCATGTATATTTAGTTGCATCATGTATTATGGATTCTATGTCAATAATCACATAGGCATCTTAAGATCTGTGACAAAAGTGCATACAAACATTTAAGAGGGGCAGATTTAATTGCAAAAGCATGTACTTTCTCAAAAAGTAACAGATGCAATATTAATCTTGGTATGGAAAAAAAGGGATTTTTAACAGTTTGTGCACATATGAACTGCCTATAAATCAGACTTCAGGTAATCTTCAACTTACAGCCACAATTGAGCCAAAATTTTCTGTTGTTACATGAGACATTTGTTAAGTGAGTTTTGTCTCATTTTATGATCTTTCTTGCCATAGTTGTTAAGTGAATCACTGCAGTTGATAAGTTAGCAACATGGTTGTTAAGTGAATCTGGTTCCCCATTGTCTTTACCAGTCAAAAGATCACCAAAGGTGATTGTCATAAATATGAACCAGTTGCCAAGCATCTGAATTTTGATCACATGCTGCAAAGGCCATAACTGTGAAAAATGGTCATAAGTCACATTTTTCAGTGGTGTTATAGCTTTAACTAAATGAGCTGTGGTAAGTTGAGGACTACCTGTATTAAGCTATGTAACTCGGTATTGACTATTATAATGGGCAGCAATTTCCAGAATTTCTCAAATTCTCACGTTTCTTCATTCACTTGTATGAAATGTTTTTAAAACTAGATATGCTGGTGACTGAATTTATGTATGTAAAGATGTGCTCTAATATTGGGCTTTTATTACCATTCAATATCATCCATTCATTATTCAACTTTTCAGTTACTTTCAGTCTATTATGTAAAAATACTCTTTACTGAAGACCATTTTACTTAGGCTGATATTGGATAATATAAAAGCTGCATCATTGATTCAAGCATGTGAATACTCACATTATGCTATTTTAAAACAGCTGAAAAGCATACATGAACTACCCCTATCATCATTCTTGAGCTGAGTACAATCTATACTATCACTGTATTTACTTAACACAAACAAATGTGTTAGGCATTCTACAGAACCCAAAGTAGGCATTTTCACTACATCAGAGGAACTAATGAAGAATTATAATTGCCCAAATGTTGTATTCCAATTTTCATTAATTTTTATTTAGACTAATGATGTTGTAGTGCAAGGATGCCAAACTCAAGGCCCATTGGCCAGATCCGACCTGTGGAGTGCTTAAATCTGGCCTATCTTGCACTGCGGTGTGTCTGGCAGCCAAAATAGGACATGGGGGGGGGGGGCATGCCTTGTTTTGGCTGGCAGAGTGCTGCAGGGGGCCATGTAAGCTGAAAATGGGGTACGGTGGGGCATGTGAGCCCCCCTATTCCCCTTTTTGGCTGGCAATGTGCTGCAGGCAATGTCCTGTCTTCCCCCGCCGCTTCGAGGGCCGGATCAATGCTGATCTGACCCTAGAAGAAATCCATTTTGACACCCCTGTTGTAGTGCAACTTTATAGCTCACACATTCTTAAACTAAAGATACAATCTGGTTAATCTTTATTGTCAATATGTCACACTATATTGAGCAAGATTTAAGGAAAATATGGTCAAGTTGCATACTTATATAAAGAATGCAAACACAAGCATTGTCCTCTGATAATATAAACATGATAGCATGAATAGGCCCTGCATACAGCTTTTTTCCCCCTCTAGCTAAAAGGAAAATCAAATTTCTGGAATTCTAGGCTAATTTTAAATTATTTGACCTTTGTTTAAATGACTGTGGGATTAGTTGTTTTCTTGGCATTGGAACAGATAAGGTTTGGACACAATCCACCTGATATCACCTCCATTAGTTTCATCCTCCATTAGTTTGCATCCTCCATTAGTTTCAAAATGTGATAGTTAGCTTAAACCAATAAAGGTATGTAAGACAAAAGCATAGCCCATTACAAACTTTCATTTTGTAATTCCATCCTAATGCTTGCTCTCCATGCAAAGAAGAATCTGTAACCAGGCATCTGGTAATTGTAGTAGTACAACATCATGGAAAGCAAAGTTCAGAATGTGTGGTGTGTTTTTTTTAGCACTGGGCAAATATGCCAGAGCAGATATGTGAACTTAGCCAGATTGCTAATAGTATGAGCAAAGTAAAGAAACCCCGGTGATGTAGCTGTTTAATCCTGGAGCAGAACACTGGGTTCTGATGTTGTCAAACAGAAATTGAATGAAAACTGCCCTTCGCAAAAGAAAGAAAAAATGATACTGCAATTTTAAATGAAAAAAAAATAATCTTGCACTGAAAAATATATTTAAGAATTATATGTTTATAAAGTTATTAATTTGTAAAGGCAGTGTTACAAAATGTTCAGTTTATATTGTTTTAGATTGTTTCATAATTTTGAAAGTGTAAAATAACATATTTTTTTCTTTATCAAAAAAAAAACCTATAAAATTTCTTCTGTAGTAAAATGATTTCATTTTACTGGTATATGATTGCTTCATGTTTTGTATCATTATAAATTTTGTGCAAATTTTTTTACAGAATTTTTTTATTTTCTATGACAATATGACACTTTTAAATTGTTATTTCAGAATGAACAGCAAAGCCTTAACTTTAAATGACGTTTGTATTCTCGGACACTGAGTAGCATTAAAAAAAAAGGATTGAATTGTAATTTAAATTTGCAGACAATGACTACTACATTCCAAAGAAACAGTTGAATTAAACATTTTCATAAAATACCCATACATTCATGACTTTTATTATCCGTACAGCTCTGTCAATTAAAAAAAAACATTAACTTTAAGACATTCTTTAAGAAACACATTCTTTAAGAAACACAATTGTAATTACATATCTTAAACTGGCTGGCATTCAAAATTTACATTCAGGACTTCCAGAATATTCCACAAGACATTACAGGACTGTCATTAGTTGTCAGATATTGAGGTCAAACTTCTTCATTAAAGCGCAGTTAAATTGGGGCATTTTCAGGGATAGAAGCTACATTTTAAAAACATCTCTCACAAAATGTTTTCCATGAGGGAAAAAAAAAAATTATTGTTCCAAAATGGTTGCCATCATAGACCTAATCATGCAACAAATGTCTTACTTATGTTTTTGTTAAGCTTATGGGCATTTTCAAACACTGCAGAAACCTATGGCTATCTATTTGTGACCTGGAAAAATTATGATAAAGAAAAATGATGCTTCAATCTGGCCCTTTAGTTTTCAGTCTTCTGTTTATCTTTTTTTTAAAAAAAAATAAAAATCTAAATTATCACTAGGTAGACCAGGGAGCGTGATGAATAACAATGAAGATTGGTAGCCACATTGATGCCACACTGCCTAGTTCTGACCAGTTATGGATTAACCACTAAATCAATCAATCACAGAAGTAGGACATCAAGGAAAGAAGAGTAACACAGAATTCTTACTCCTAGGTATCATGCCCCTAACTTATTTTGCTTTACCATTTTTGGTAGAGTGTTTAATTTTTTTTACATATGATTAAAAATAGCTTTCAATAAAGTTTTGCATTTACATTTTCCCTTTATAACGATTTTTATTAAAAATGCATTTAAATTGTTGAAATTCGCATATTTTGTTGTTGTCCTGGTTATAATAAATAATGTGTTTATATTGCTTACTGCTATTTAGTGTTAATAAAGTTTTTAAAACAGTATTTACTTATTTATATAGTTGTGGGGACTAGCCTGGAAGAAAACTGAATTTTTAAACTTATTTCACGTTCAGTACCTGCTGAGTCTTAATATTTTGTCAGTCAACCAAATGGGAAGGCTAAGGGGGTTTATTGTTGGGTTATGTCTTAAGGCATCAGGGGCTGTAATCTAGCTTTGCCTTGATCTATGAAAAACAGAACATCATCATAGCCATAGCTACATTTGGGCAATGTAGATAAACAGTAGAATTGACAAGGAAAGAGGTAGCAGACTGACAAATGAAGAAAACAGTGGTCAGATAGCAGGACAGCAACATGGTCAAAATCAGGTCAGATCCGAATGATTTTTTCTTTATAAATTTTATCAGATTCACACAGAATCCAACTGGCCCTATTAAACATGGAACTGCAGTATTATTCTCTGGTCACTACCCCATGGAAAATGGATGCTGATTCTCCAACAAAGAAGTTGGGTTTGGCCCTCATGAAAACTGCAAAGTATAACAGCCAAGCTAGTTGAAATCAAAAACCTATTTCTTCCAGTACTCTATCCCTACAGTTAAAATCAGAAACCTATGGAAGGACACAATTCTAATAGCAGCTTTTGCCTCCAGTGTCAGCTAAAGGTTATATGGGATCATCTTCTGCCATCCAAAGATTTGCATTTTTAAGAATGATTCTGGAGGAGAACAGTGTCCCCTTAGTTTTGGCAACTTAGCCTATGCCTATTCAGCCCTAGCCTGAAGTTGGCCTTTCTTCACTTTCAATAAAGACATAAACACTACCGTGTAATACCACCTTCACATGGGATTAATTGTGCAAGAACTTTATTCAACATTGGATTAAAACTGGGGGAGCCAAATTCAGCTTTAATTCAATCATAGAACTTCTAATTCAGTGGTATAAAGATCCATGGGCCAGATCCAGCCTGCAGGGTGCTTAGATTTGGTCTGCACAGCCAGCCTGGAAATAGCAAAGGACTGGCCCATGATACCTATGTTAGCGGCCCCTTTGCAGCCTGTTTTTTTTTTTTAACCCGAATGGCCTCCTGCAGCATTCTGCCAGCCAAAATAGGCAGTGAGGGCTTCCAGAGGCCTTCTCCGGCCTGTTACAGATCGAAATGGAGCCTCCGTGGGTCACATCTGGCCCTCCTCTTTACTTATTTTTCAAAGAGCTCCAGAAGAGCTGACCCACATGGCAGAAAAACCAAAGTCTTTTATTAGGAAGCCTGTGAAGATATAAGAACTGAGATGTAAGGAAAACAGCTTTTCCCATCTGAATAAAAGACTGGCTTCTCTGCCATGAGAGCCTGCAGGATTAGTTTGGGCCCAGTCTGGCCAACAATGAGCAGCCTCCTGCTTGCTCTTGACTGATAGTTTGAATGAGCAGTTTCAGGGATTGGGCCATAGGAGCCAATCAACAAGGGGATTGCAGTTCAGCCCAATGAGATAAAGGAAGCAAGCTCCTCATTGATTGGCTGCTGCTGCTGCTTCTGCTACCTCAGTCCCTGAGGTAGCACCAGAGGCCTGGTGGCCACATGGCCTCAACCAAAGTCTTTTACTCTGAAGCTGGCAAAAATGTTTTCCTTAGATTTCACGTTCTTACAGTTTTGCCATCATCTGAATAAAACACTTTTGCTTTTCTGCCATTGGCTTGGTAGAGGCTTCT